AAAATTGTGCCGGTTATCGTGTGAAAGAACGCGATCTGAAAACCCCACCCTTTAAGGATTGGACTGGAATCCTGAATTGGATCAAAACCTGTAGATAGGGAAGAGGACGGGAAAAGAAAGAGATCGTATACGTTGGAAATGTATTAAGAAAGACGAAGAGAATCTTGGAATCTATCAACAATGTCGCCTGGAAAAGGTAAGACTTTTCGTTTTAACGCAAATTTCTATTTGAAACAAGGGTTTTTCATTCTATCTATCTATCTATCTATCTATCTATCTATCTATCTATCTATCTATCTATCTCAGTCTGTTCCTATCTATCTATCTATCTATCTATCTATCTATCTATCTATCTATCTATCTATCTATCTAATTCAAACTGTTATCTATCTATCTATCTATCTATCTATCTATCTATCTATCTATCTAATTCAAACTGTTATCTATCTATCTATCTATCTATCTATCTATCTATCTATCTATCTATCTATCTATCTCAGTCTGTTCATATCTATCTATCTATCTATCTATCTATCTATCTATCTATCTATCTATCTATCTATCTAATTCAAACTGTTATCTATCTATCTATCTATCTATCTATCTATCTATCTATCTATCTATCTATCTATCCCAATGACATGCAAATTCTATACAAAATTAAAATTACTTGTACTTAAAATGTCTATACACGACGATTTTAAAATCAAAGGGAATGATAGCAAACTTATGTTTATGGTAACATCAACCCTTATTTATCTCGCATATCCTCCTACTCTCCACATAGTCCCTCCTCTTACGTCCATGTAATAACCCCATTCCTGTTACCGTCTAATTTGAGTGCCACTTGAGCCTTGTACTATGGCTGAAAATTTAGTATATATATATATATATATATATATTCATATTTGATTTGATTATACAAAGCTATTTTGTACATACACATAACAATACATACAAAGTTTCATTTTAAAAAATCTTTATGTTAATGTTATGAGAAATAACACTGGATTTTTTGATAATTAAATTATATTTTTAATACTTTTGCGAACCTTCAAAATTTTGGTTAATTTGTTTTTCTTGTGTCAGCGAGAGTACAAAAATTAGTAAAAGAAATTTTAGCGATTTTTCGCTCTGAAAAACATTGATTTACAAATTCTTGCAAAACCAAAACATTGTCGGATTTTAATGAAACTCTCAGGACTTATTCACAAATGAATGAAATTATTTTAGAAACATTTGTTTTTTGTAGAACATCTTGGTAAAAATATTTTTTTTTACATTTGTTACCTCCTCCCTACTTATTTAATTATATAAAATTTCGAGAAATTAATTTTTTCTTAAATTTTATACTAGTTATAAGAACAAGACCTTGAAGAATTTAAATGATCATATTTTTTCTTTTTTTTGCTAAACAAGACCTTCTAGTTACAGAAAATCTGCCCTTAATCGTAAAGTAAAAAAAATGAAATAAAAATAAGACATTATTTAATTAGAAAAGCTTTTAATTGCTTTTATGAATAAGATCTATTACGAACATTATTGACTTAAGAAGAATAAAAATCTTTTTGGGATGAATAATGGATTTAAAAAAAATAATTTTGATATTTTGTTTGTGTATTTTTGTAAATAGAGACGGCCGTACACGATTTTTACTGATTTTTGTAAATACAGACTTTTATGCAAGACTTTATCAGAAAATAAGTACGGTGACTACAATAAATTTCAAAAGTAAAGTCCCTAAAACTCAATAACATATTACATTACTTTGAATGTTTTTCGTCAAGTAACTTTTACAGTTATATTCCCTGTAGAAAAAATTATTTAAAATTCTGAAACATCAAGCTGTCCTTACAGCCGTCAACGCTTAATAAAAACACCTACCCCTGTGTTAAAATGCTTTTCTGCGATATTTTAAACTAAAAGTAAGTAATTAAACTTCAAATCAACTAATCTTCAAATAAATTTTCAGAAACGCTTATTTAGTTTTTAAAAGACTTTTAATAAAGTTGTGCTGAGAGAATTGCAAATATGGCTAAAATCATCCATTTTTACCAATTTCATAAAAAAAAAGAACTCACTCCAATCAATTTAAAATTCGTTTTGAAATGCAGCGAATTATTTTGCTTATTGGGAATATTAAATTTAATCTATTAGCTTGAAATTAAAACTAAAATAAAAACTTCAAGAAAGATTTTCGTTTTAAAAAATTCATTTTAAACATTATGTATCACTTTTTCTTGTTACTTATATATATATATATATATATATATATATATATATATATATAAAATAAATTTATATATATATTATTCTCTGCCTGTCCGTGTGTGTGTCTATCTCTCATTTTATATATATATATATATATATATATATATATATATATATTATTCTATATTAATATATTGTTCTGTTTTGCATTAAACACTTTTTAAAAGTAAATGCTACAGAGAGTGTAATTTAACTCCATCTGTTCTTTTCTCACTCTCTCTCTCTTTATATATATATATATATATATATATATATATATATATAGAGAGAGAGAGAGATATTTACTAATTGTTAATATTTCCTTGTTTAGTTTATATTCATCTCTCTCTCTCTCTCTCTCTCTCTCTATATATATATATATATATATATATATATATATATATATATTATTCTATATTAATATATTCTTCTATTTTGTATTAAACAATTTTAAAAGTAAATGTTACAAAAGAGTGGAATTTTAATCTATCTGCTCTTTCTCTCCCCATCTCTCTTTATATATATATATATATATATATATATATATATATATATATATATATATATATATATATTTATTTAAATTATTAATATCTCTTTATTTAGTTTATATTCATTTCTCTCTCTCTATATATATATATAGAGAGAGAGATATAGATAGATAGATAGATATAGATAGATAAATAAATATATATATATATTCTCCTTTTAATATATTGCTCTACTTTGTATTGAGCAGTTTTTAAAAAGTAAATGCTGAGATCAGTTGAATTTTACTCCATGTGTTCTTCCTCTCATTTGTGTGTATATATATATATATATATATATATATATATATATATATAGTTGCTAATATCTCCTTACTTTGTTTACCGATCGATTGAGAAAGTCAAGCAAAATAAAAAAAAAACCTGTCAAAGATAGACTGCTGTTGATAAACTTTGCACTTCATTTTATGTTTATAGTTTATGACATTACTATAGGTTAATGAAGAAAGCAAAATGAATGCCGTCTTGTGCAAATTTCGCTGTCATCTAGTTTTAAAAATCGAAAGCAGAAAGCACAAAAGGAGTTTTTCAGTTGAAACTTCATGAAAATGATAAGCGTTTAGTTATTAGTGTATATCCCAGCATCATTGTTGCAAAGTAGATAAGGTAAGCTATACTGAGTGAATACAGACTTAACCCGCTTGTCATTTTGTATAATCACAAAGACATTCAATTAGACTATGATAAAATCGTGAACCTCTATGCAAAGAATCCACGAAAACTGATTTTAGTAAATCCTCCTACATAAACGCTATATAATCAGACTTTGAATCTAAAAGTTTGACTATATTTCTGAGATGAGGTATTATGCACACTATTTACATTGTTCGTACTATCGTCCTCAACTTTGTCGCCATATTTATCACAACGTTTCAGCCTTTCAGTATCTGTCTATATTTCTGAGATGAGGTATTATGTAAGATGAGGACAATAGTCCGAATAATGTAAATAGTGTATTTACATTATTCGGACTATTGTCCTCATCTTTGTTGCCATATTTATCACAACTTTTCGGCCCTTCAGTATCTGTCTAAATTTCTGAGATGAGGTATTACGTACACTATTTACATTATTTGGACTATTGTCCTCATCTTTGTCGCCATATTTATTACAACGTTTAGGCCGTTGTATGCTCCTTCTTCAGGTGGTTAGAATGTCGAACTAAACAAACACACATGGCACAGTGGATAAAGGCGTTAGTTAGATCGAGTGACAGAACCCAAACAGTGTGAGTTCAATACCCGGTTAAGGCAGTGGAGAACTTGGAGAGGGGAATTAACAGGAGATAACTGACAAGTGACATGCATTAAACATGGCACGTGGAACTAGAACAGTCTACCCCAGTGAGTGAAATAAAGGGTTCAGTTCGCCATTCCAACCGCCTGAAGAAGGCTGGAGCGTACAACGGTCGAAACGTTGTAATAAATATGGCGACAAAGACGAGGACAATAGTCCGAATAATGTAAATAGTCTAACAGTTTGAATTTACAATTTTACATATCAAATAAATTAAAGAAAACGTAAATTTATATATATATATGTGCGTGTGTGTGTGTGCGTGCGTGCGTGTGTGTGTGCAAATATATTGATAAAATGGGAAAGAACCGTTAGATTGATGATCCGAAGTTCTTTAGTATTGAAAATGAAACAGAACTAGGTACTTTAATTTAATTTCTATAATTGAATTGGAAGTTTTTAGCTTCTGTTTTTGAAACATGGTAATTCCTGTGTAGCGATGGAATCATGCTTTTAAAAAAATAATTATAATATATATATATATATATATATATATATATATATATATATAAAAGGAGAAGAGGATTCATATGTTTACCAAGGGTATTAGCGCGTAAGCAATGGATCAGACTAGAATAAATTGGGATCACACGTCTCTGTAATCCAAGCCGCTATAATGTAGATGATCCCAGAAGTTAAAATTTTGAATTGAGATTTTACGGAAAAACGCGGCTCTTCTAACTGAAAATACTGGATGCATCTCTGATGCCAAAAATAAATTTAAAAAAAAATTACCTTGCATCTTAGTAAACAAAGTTTATTTTTTATTTTTATTTCCAAATTTTGAAAGTTAAAATTCAGGCGCCATTGCAGCATCAACAAGATAATTTTCTATTGTTTTATTTTTTTATCAGAAATCCCATTATTACAGGAAATTCTTGCCAAATAAATATAATTTATCAAAGA